TTTGTTAAAATTTCCAAAGGGTGCCGCGACTAAAAAAAGGTTGGGAAACACTGTTTTAAATGACTTTTTATTGAAAGGCAACAAAACAAACTGATAATCAGTTTAGTAAATATGACTGTGTCTGTGAAGGATGGTATTGTCAAAAAAATAGTGTTTGCCCAAAATGGGTTAAAGTGCCCCTATTATGGATTTTTTTTAAATTACCTTTCATGAAGTGTAACACAGCTCTAAGTGAATAAAAACATCCTGCAAAGTTTTAAATCTGAAAGTGCACCGTGTATAGAGTTATTGTCTCTCAAAAGAAAGAGTCAACTCTGAATCATTTAAACGAGTTGACGTCAACATGAAACATTAGCATATTTATGCCCGCCCACTTATTGGTCTAAATGAAAATGCAAATTCATTTTTGCCACTAGGTGCCGCTTTTGGAGCGGTAAAAATAGCTGTACACAAAGCAGCACTGCGCTCACAAACGCTGCTTTATCAGACGTTACAGGCATGATGAAATGAAAATAAGACCAATCGGACCAATCACTGCAGATTAGCGTCACGCAAAGGAGGGGTTTGGAAAAATTAATCTTAAACGAATCGTTTGGGAGTCGTTGAGCAAATAAGGTAAAAATAAATGCATATTATAAAACCTTGCATGCGTGTCAACCTGTTGTTGGGGACTCCCAAAACCAAAATATGAACATTTCATTACCCATAATAGGGGCACTTTAAAATTGCTTGCCTCGCCACTGGACTGGATGCTTTCAAATGATTTCCTATTAAACTGCAGTGTTCAAACAACAGGGCATAGTAATAAAAACATTCGGGGCTTGAAATATGAAATTTTATCATTACTTTGTTACCAGTGCCAATGAATAATAACTATTTTCAATACTTTTGAAAAAGTAATCAACGTTCATCCGAATGATTGAAAACGTGTGAAATGGATCGACTGAATCAAGTCAAAGCCTGACTCTCATTTAACTATTCAGCTAAAATAGTTGGAATGGAAATAAAGGAGAAGAAATAAAGTAATGAATTCCTGTATATGGGCGGATTGGCTGGATTTGTGCGTGAGAATATAGATTGTGATCATCATCCTTGATTTTACCTCATTAATTCTGACCTTTAGAGTACAAAGAAAGAAAAAAAATATTAATTTAAAATGTTTTAATTTATTTTTGTTTTGGTTTAATTAAGCTTTGTTTTTCATTCTGTGTTTGGTTAGCTTTTCTTGTACACTGCAAGAAATATTCTTCAAACAAGACTATTTAAATATAGGGCAAATGTTATGTCTATTCCAGAAATTAATACAGTTTTTCTCAAATATTTCACAGAACTTCTTGTGCTACACATGCAAAGAATATGTGGAGGATTTGGGCAAAATACCTCAGCATATGTTGCAGGTCAAGGGATGATATTAGAAAAATGCTGTTAAAACACTTTTGTCAGTAATAATGTAATATTTGGTTGAATATACAGTGAAGAAAAGGAACAACATATATTTTTTCCTTCTCTCACAAATGTAGGAATCGAATGTCAGATTGGTAGTGATTAGACAGTCATCATGGCATCATATAGAGGTTCTCACAGCCATCTGCTGGAGTGCCCTTGCCAGTCATCAGAGGGCACTCTTCTCACCTCCGTTCTGCCTCCCTCCTGGATTTCTTTGACTTTATTTGGAGCGTCTGGAATCCGCCCCTTAAAGCGGGGGTCATGTCACAGCCATCTGCTGAAGTGCTCTTGCCACTCTTCTGGACTGTTGTTTGTGTTCCCATCACCCCTTGCACTTATTAGTTCTCATTGTTCCCAGCTGTGTGTCATTTAGTCTTATCAGTTCCCCTATATATACATACCATGTTCTGTTAACCCTTGTTTGCTTCAGTATTGTTTTCTGTTACGCTGTTTGTGGATTACCTTTTGCCTTTGTTTTCTGCTTGTTGCTCTGTTTTTGGATCTTTGTATTTTGTGGATTCATAAACTGCACTTGGATCTTATATGTTTTCCATGAGTGATCTGTGACAGAATACTGAAGCCAACTTAAACAGCAAGCACAAACTATGCAAAAGCGGCATTCCTTCTGGTGCACTCAGTGTCCGAATTCACTACTCGTTTTCATTCACTCCTTCTAGTGAACTGAATTAGTGACCTAATGTAGGGAATAGTGAATGAGGGTACAGTTCTCTATTTTTCTTTTGGACCATGGGCATTCATATTCTTCCTCCAGCCACTAGCAAGGAGCGGATGGCATGATTTCGGTCCTTGTTGGCTCTGTGCCAGCAGGGGATGGAGGTTGGAGGTTTTGCCCTTTGGACTTTAGCGGTGGGGCTGGATTACAATGATGCAGCGCTCAAGGATTTTTTTAATGGTTGCCTGAATGAACCTCGTGTCTGGTGGTCCTGGAGGGTCCAATTCCGGTGGTCTCACAGTCCACTCCAGAGCCTGCTCCAGTTCAGGAGCCTTCAGAATCCACTCCAGAGCCCGCTCCAGTCCAGGAGTTCACAGAATCCACTCCAGAACCCGCTCCAGTCCAGGAGTTCACAGAATCCACTCCAGAGCCCGCTCCAGTCCAGGAGCCTTCAGAGTTCAC